TCTATTCTATTCTCTATTCTATTCTTTATCCTATTCTATTCTAAATTCTATTCTATACTAAATTCTATTCTTAATTCTATTCTATTCTTAATTCTATTCTATTCTACTATATTCTCTATTCTAGTCTACCCTGTTTCTCCAACAATACGGCCTCCCCCAATAGGAAGTCCCAGCCTGTTTTATAGGCATGAAATGAAATTAAGTCCCTCCCCCCAAATTAAGGCCTATATTAAAACATGCGAAATGGGGAGGAATGGTGGGGGGGGCTTGCCGTTAGGAAGTACTTTTGTTGCACACCCGGATATGGTGCTGCCTGCGTTGACCCCGATACGAAGTGCCCCACCAACGCCGAGGTCAACATCCAAGCCGTCGCCACCCGCCCGAAGATGCAAGTGGGGGGGAATTAAGTCACCCCCGAAAAGACGGCCTAGCCATTTTTTCGGGGCTCAAAATAAAAATAAGACCCAGCCTTATTATATGAGAAACACGGTAATTCTAATTCTATTCCGATTGCTTTCAACATGTTGCCTTCCTCTTTCCAGGCAGTCGGTGGTCAATTGCTTCTTCAACAAGCTAGAGCCCCTGCACGACCGGATTTACTGCGCCCTCTCCGGCTCTGCGGCTGATGCTCAGGCCATGGTTGATCTGATCAATTACCAGCTGGAGCTCCACAGGTGAGGAAATCTATGGAGCTGCTTACGGGAGCCCACCGGGGGGGGGTGTCCTCCTCTACCACGGAAGCCCAACCCCAGAGGGGCCTCCAGCTCTGCTTATCTTTTGGTCCCAGAAAGGATAGCGCATCCAAGGGGCACCAACTGGCAGGGTAGCAGATCTGAGCAGAAGGAAGAGAGGCCAGCGGAGCACGAAGTGGGATCTGGATAGAGTCGGCCTGAGAGTAGAGTAGGCCAGTAATGATCAGAATGAACAGGAGAGAGAAAGGAAGGGTGGAAATTAGCTGCCAAGGCAGTCATCGGACCATGCACTCCTCATTTTGATGAAATGAGGCCTGTTAGGGGTAGGGGTCAAAAAAAAATCAAGATGGCGATTAAAGCTTCGAACTTCCCAATGTACATAAAACAGAACAGGCTTTCGATCACAGAATGCCATTTTTTGTGGGAATTAGATGTTTAACAGAGTGATGGCTTTCGGGGGAAAAACTCTCCTTGTGTCTAGTTGTTCTGGTGTGCAGGGCTCTATAGCGTCGTTTTGAGGGTAGGAGTTGAAACAGTTTTTGTCCAGGATGTGAGGGGTCTGTAGATATTTTTACAGCCCTCTTTTTGACTCGTGCAGTATACAGGTCGTCAATTGAAGGCAGGTGGGTAGTAATTGTTTTTTCTGCAGTCCTAATTATCCTCTGAAGTCTGTGTCTGTCCTGTTGGGTTGCAGAACCAAACCAGACAGTTATAGAGGTGCAGATGACAGACTCAGTGATTCCTCTGTAGAACTGGATCAGCAGCTCCTTGGGCAGTTTGAGCTTTCTGAGTTGGCGCAGGAAGAACAATCTTTGTTGTGCTTTTTCGATGATGTTTTTGATGTTAGGTGTCCATTTTAATTGTGTTTTTTTTTCTTGGGCCTCTGAATGCTCCAACACAAGAACTTTTTAAAAAAGATGTTGGATAACTATTTGTCTGAAGTGGTGTAGGGTTTTCTTCCTAGGCAAGGTGTTGGACAAGAAGACTTCCAAGGTCCCTTCCAAGTCTATTCTATTCTATTCCATTCCACTCCACTCCACTCCACTCCATTCCATTCCATTCCATTCCATTCCATTCTATTCTATTCTATTCTATTCTATTCTATTCTATTCCATCTATTCTATTCTATTCTATTCTATTCTATTCTATTCTACTCTATTCTATTCCATCCCATCTATTCTATTCTATTCTATTCTATTCTATTCTATTCTATTCTATTCTATTCCATTCCAATCCATTCCATTCCATTCTATTCCATCCCATCCCATCATTTCTATTCTATTCTATTCTATTCTATTCCATCCATCAATTCTATTCTATTCTATTCTATTCTATTCTATTCTATTCTATTCTATTCTATTCTATTCTATTCTATTCTATTCCATCATTTCTATTCTATTCTATTTTATTCTATTCCATCCCATCATTTCTATTCTATTCTATTCTATTCTATTCTATTCCATTCCATTCCATTCCATTCCATCCCATCATTTCTATTCTGTTCTGTTCTATTCTAATCCCCTCTAAACAAGGGGAAAATGTGCCTCAAGCAATCCATCCGCTTATGATGAAACCCAGTAACTCTTTTGTTCATGCATTGCTGTCTCCCAGAAAGAGTCAAATCTTCCAGCTGGTCCTTGGTGGGGAAATTGTTCTTGGTGTAGCACCGCCCCCTGGTGGCCATTATAAAAATGGTGCCTCTTTTTTATCACTTGATTTCCCAGAAAAGGAAGCGGCCCAAGGACAGATCTCATTGGCTCCCGTCAGGGGAAATCAAGCGCTCCCTGCAGCGGGGAGTTGGAAAGCACCGACCTCCGAGGTCAGGAAATCTGTTGCTATTTTGGGTGTTGCCTGCGGTGCTTTCTAAACTCTGCTTTGCTTATTTTCCGATTGACATTTGAAAGGCAGTGCTATGCGCTCGTGAGTTTAAGTGGATTTTCCCTCACAAGTGAGTGGGAGAACAATTACAGGCTGAAAGGTGCCAACTATTTTGTTTTGACAGAATGAAGCATACAGATTTGCAGAGTTGGAAGGGACCTCATAGGCCATCTAGTCCAACCCCTCCAAGAAGGAGACCCTACACCAGTGATGGCTAACCTATGACACGCGTGTCACTCGTGACACGCTGAGGCACTTTGACTGACACGCCTGTTGGTGTGGGGAAAACCTCCACATTTAGAGGCTGCCTGTGCTCTGCTCCAATCCCTGCTCCCTGCTTGTTGCATGGAGGCGTGGTGTCACCGCTGCCGCAAGATCTTTGCAGCAGAGAACCAGTTTTAACTGCCATAAACTGAGGTGTGTCAGTTTCATTACCTCAGGAACGCTACAGGAGGAAAGGAGATCCATGAGGTTCACAGCCCTGTAAGGCGGCCTTCCGATCCCCACATCCTGCACCTGCAGCCCTGAGACCAGGGAGACGAGTTTCACAGCCCTGTGTGATCACCCCAGCCCAGTCCGTCAAAAAACCAAATTATTGATATTTCTTGAAGTGACACACGACCCGAGGAAGGCTACACTTTTTCCCGATTTTCGACACACCAAGCTGAAAAGGTTAGCCATCACTGCCCTACACCATTTCCAACAAATAGCAGACCAAGAGTACTGCAGACTTTGTAAATAGTTGGACAGTGTTGAGGGAATTATT